AGGACACATGACATATTCCACCGTGTCATTATTTATTGTGAAATCGCAGAAGCATTATGCAGCAACGACTTGAAATAATTGTTTTCCATATGACTTTATCATTCTGTCATATCACTGTGGAGGGATTTTGTCGCACGCTTCTTCACGGCATTCCTTGATTTCATTGAGGTTAAGGTGTAAAGCATTAAAGTGAGGCTGAGGTCTGGACTTTGACTCGGCCTCGGCAGCACCTTGATTCCTTGATAGAGATGCTGCTGGGCTTTAATCATTGCCCTGCCTCATGACCCAGTCTTGCGCAAGTTTTAACTGCGGGGCACGTGGCCTCACATCTGCCCTTAGAATACTTTGATATACAGAAGAGCTCACGGTCGACTCGATGACTGCAAGGTTTCCTGGTCCTGTGGCTGCAAAACAAGTCTATTTCATCACCTCTCCACAACAGACAGCTGGTGTGACATCTTTGTGCTGATTTGGTTTTCTGCAAACATATACAGTCTTGTTGTTTTTTGACAATGTTAATCCAATATTTTGATATTTCATATTTCTAACATTTTATACTTTTCATATTTTTTTGTTATTTGCTGAGCTTAGCACAACAGTAATTTTGTTGTGCTTGCACAATGTCAGTAAGGTTGTTGGTACCTGTTGCTCACTGCTCGCCTAAGCAAAAGGCAGATAGTATAGCATCATGACCACCCCATACAGAACAGACTGTTGACTGTAGTGCAGTCAACACTTTACTTGACATGTTGCTACCGTGTGAACGTGTAATGTTTGTGCTCAGTTAAATCTACCCTGTGCTCTGCTTCAAAACATCAAATGGCATTAAGTCATTTTTAACACAAAAATGAACCAATCGCTCCATCCCAGCTCATTGGAAGTGTTTAGAAAGTTTACTACGTGTTTATTTTCAGGAATTCATACGATTTAATGCCACAGTAACCTGGAAATGTTTCCTTTCACAGAATGTCCGTACCACAGACCGCTGGGATTTGAATCTGGATCTGTGACCTCAGACCAAATCAGCTGCTCCAGTCAGGACCAGTACACCGGCTGGTACTCCTCCTGGATCCCGAACAAGGCTCGCCTTAACAACCAGGGCTTTGGGTGAGTCAAGGCCACCCAGTTCGTGTCACACAGCGCGCCCCAGATAAACAAATAACTGGGAATGTGAATCTTTGTTAGGTGCGCATGGCTGTCCAAATTCAACGATCAGTACCAGTGGATCCAGATCGACCTGAAGGAGGTGAGCGTGGTGTCTGGTGTCCTCACCCAGGGCCGCTGCGACGCTGATGAGTGGATCACTAAATACAGCATCCAGTACCGCACTTTAGAAACTCTTAACTGGATCTACTACAAAGACCAGACTGGAAATAACAGGGTAGGTACACTAAACAGGAGTCACATTTGAAAGCGTCATAATAACTGAGTCCTGTGGGCTTTTGTACCATTTAAATTACCCCCCAAATTTCCACTTTCATTTACTTCAGCATTATTTCTTTGTAATTTGGAAAAACTGAGATCTATTATTGGGATGACCGTGGCTCAGGGGGTTGGGAAGCTCATCTGTAACCGGAAGGTTGCCGGTTCGATCCCCGGGCTCTCTGTCCTGGTCATTGTGTCCTTCACCTACCACTTACTGGTGTTGGCCAGAGGGGCTGATGGTGCGATATGGCAGCCTCGCTTCTGTCAGTCTGCCCCAGGGCTTGCCTTCACCAGTGAGTGAATGAATAGTGGAATTGTAAAGGGCTTTGGGTGCCTTGAAAAGCGCTATATAAATACAATCCATCATTGTTATTAAATTGCAATAATCTCAGGGTTTACATGTGCAGTTAAACATCTTTACATTGACAGAGAAGGGCATTTCATCGGTCCACTTCACTTATAAAATCTTAAATAACACTATTTAACAGAACTTATTTATTTGTATAATCCTATAAAAGCACTAAGATCTTCTAACCAGATGCTCTTAATGCAACCTAAGTCTAGGTTGAAAACCAGAGGCGATCGTGCCTTTGCTATTGCAGCTCCTAGATTGTGGAACAACCGCCCTTTTGCCATTCGCTCTTCTGAGACTGTTCAGTCTTTTAAATCTCGTTTAAAGACCCATCTTTTTACTCTGGCTTTGATGTAAGATAGTTTGATTATCATTTGGTTGGTTTCTATGTTTGTCTTGTCTTGCGTTGTGTTTGTCTTATTTTTATTTCTTAATTTGTGAAGCACTTTGATCAAAACTGTTGTTTGTAAATGTGCTATATAAATACATTTTGATTTGATTTGATTTGATGTATGATCGATGTGAGCAGCATAAAGCTCACAATTTAAAATGAGTTTGAAATCTCTGGCCTACACCAATCAGTACACACTAAAGTGTTTAAATATATCCAACTAAGAGGCTGTTATATTGTAATTTTATGTGGACCTATTATTCTTTAAGTCCTCGTGAATGATTTAGTAGTTCACACAGAGCTGCTGCCGAGTTTATTTGGCTTGGCTTTCTAAGCTGTCAAAAATATAGGATACTAATATGGTCACATCATGCACACAGCTGTGCAAATCAAAGCTTCTGGTTAATGATGAGCAGCTAATCAGAGTAAAGTTGAGTCAAAGGGAGCTAAAATTGCTTGATTCATATAGTAGATGAACTGAGTGTTAATATAAATAAGGATTACAGTACTTTGAACTGTGAAATCATGCAAAGCTATTCAAAGAATAAAACTATGGAGGTGGAAGTAATCATAGAAGGTCCTCTTCATGAGCCTTTTCTGATTATTGTGTGTGTAAATGATACAAAATGAGCGTGTTTAAATGCTGTGTACTTTCTTTTTGTTTAGGTCTTCTACGGAAACTCCGATCGCTCTTCCACGGTACAAAACCTGCTGCGCCCGCCTATTGTGGCTCGTTATATACGCCTGCTGCCGCTGGGCTGGCACACTCGCATTGCCATGAGGATGGAGCTGCTGATGTGCATGAACAAATGCACCTGAAGTGTTTCTTAGCTCACTGACCATCATTCCCCTGTCAACCCTGTCACTTGCCAAAAGGGGAATATTTATCTAACACTGTAAGATCCTTTGATACAAGTCTAGTCTGTCCCCATTTGGTGAGGCTCACAGTTCTCTGGGCAGGTGGACATCTCTGGTGTCCTCTGATGGATTATTTGTCTGTATTAAAGTTTCCACCAAACTGTTCCAGCTCAAATTGAAATTTGTCACCTTCAATAAAGCAGTTATTAACTGCGTCAGGAAATAAAAAAGCTTCTACATGTTCAGAGTCAAATCAAACGGGCTTGTTTTATTTGAGATTTACTGTTACATATGTAAACATGAATAATCTAAAACTGTTAAGCATTCATCTGTGAGTTTATGCTGTCATGTAAATGCTCTGTTGGAAAAAAAAAGCAGATAAACACTGACTATGCTACTAATTTGTGTCTGTAATAAAAGCACAAACTTAATACTTGATTTCATTTAAACAGTTGATAAACATCCTCTGTTATAAATATTACCAAACAAGTAGTCACACATCAGTATTAATATAATACACGGTGCTCCTTCAGCGAAACAATAATCCAAAGAGAGAAACGTATCGTGTCAAGTACAGAGTGTGCACAGTCCTTACAGATGCACCACACACAATACGACACGGTCATGTCTGGGCTCAGCGCGTTACAGTAGGAGCCGGCAGG